TGATTGCTTTGCATTTGGCTGGAAAACCACAAGTGGCTATCGTTAGAGCCCTCCAGCATTTAAAAGTGAATAAATGTTTTGTGTCTCGTACCATCGCTCGTTACCATGATACTGGTAGCGTAGCCCGACGTCAAGGAAGTGGACGAAAAAAAACAGCAACATCGGCAGAAATGGTTCGAAAAGTGAAAAAGCGAATTGAACGAAATCCGCGTCGCAGTGGACGAAAAATGGCTCGTGAGCTGAACATATCGCAATATGCCATTCGGCAAATATTGAAAAATGAGCTTGGACTAAAGCCATTCAAGTTCCAAAAAGTGCAAGATCTTACTGATGCGCAAAAAAAAGTTAGACTCGAAAAAGCTAAAGAGTTGTTTCGCTTGGCCGAAAGTGGTGAACTGCCGAATTTGGTTTTCTCCGATGAGAAACCATTCGTTATCCAGCAGTTTGTAAACAAACAAAATGATCGTGTTTACTTGCCAGAGAGGTCAGCTGAAAATTTGCAACTTCTGTTGGCCATCACAACTCAAAAGCCGGCCATGGTGATGGTGTGGGCCGCCATAACAGCCGATGGTCGCTCGCCGCTCGTATTCATCGACCGTGGTGTCAAATTCAATGCGCAAATCTATCGCGAAAATATTTTGGAGGGAGTTCTGAAGCCCTGGGCACGCAAACATTTCGGCCGCAGACCTTGGACATTCCAACAGGACTCAGCACTATCGCACTCAGCACGCGCCATCCAAGAATGGTTAAGAAATGAGGTTCCTCGCTTCATTTCCACCGCACAATGGCCACCAAAATCTCCGGATGCCAATCCGTTGGACTATTGTGCCTGGGGTATTTTGGAAAGCAAGGTTGGCACTAAAAAATACCAAAGTGTCGATCATCTCAAGCAAGCGCTTCGCCGAGAATGGGACAAAATACCGCAGAGCCACTTTCGGGCAGCGTGTGATGGTTTCATTGGCCGTTTGAAGGCCATAGTTCGTGCCAAAGGTGGCCAATTCGAACAATTCTAAACCGATTCTCAAATTTGATGTTATTTCCGACATTTTTTGCTTTCATTCAATAAAATTTAAAAAAAATGAAAAAATTATGGCGTTTTACTTTGTTGCAGTTTTTTCATCTCACCTTGTATATGCATATAAACATTACTTAGAAAAGGTATATATACTCATGTATCTTATAATATCAAAAAACCTTTCTTTTTCTTAGTTTATTATGAATGAACCAGTCTTAATGTTTAATAATTTTAAGTTAATTTAGTTTTGCTCAATTTTAATAATATGAACTTATGTGTATATAAACAATAATTCATAAAAAACTAAAACTCAATTTTTAAAAATAAATTTTCAGTTTGAAGGTGCAGAAATTAAACTTGATCGAAAAGTTGGCATATTTGTTACAATGAATCCCGGCTACGCTGGCAGAACTGAGTTGCCAGAATCCGTTAAAGCACTTTTCCGTCCAGTAACTTGTATTAAGCCGGATTTGGAATTGATTTGCTTAATATCACTTTTTTCTGATGGTTTTCTAACAGCAAAAGTAAGTTCAATTTAACACGAAACCATTTTTTTAATATATTCACACATTAAGAAGGAAGCACATTAAAGCGAAATACGTATCCTTGCTGATATGTTTAATTAAAATCCTTTTTCCTAATATGCCCACACTCTCACATCTATGTATATTTATGAAATAATAATAATATGCTGGTAATATATAAAGTACCAAATAGTGTATTAGCATATATGTATGTGGAGCAAATGTAACTTCATTAATTTGGAATAGTAAAGAAAACTTTAGTAATTTAAAATAATTTTATTTAATGCTTAAGGTTTTGGCTAAGAAAATGACTGTGCTCTATAAGCTGGCTGAGGAGCAATTATCCAAACAGTGCCATTATGATTGGGGCTTACGTTCATTAAACTCTGTACTACGTATGGCGGGTGTGATGAAACGTAAATCGGAAGAGTTGCCCGAAGCTGTTGTACTTATGCGTGTACTGCGTGATATGAACTTTCCCAAATTTGTGTTTGAAGATGTGCCATTGTTTTTGGGTCTCATTCGAGTAAGTAATACAAAACTATAAAATAAAATTAAAATTTTAATTATAGAACACACTATTATCAATAATTTATAAAGTTGACTTCAACAGCCTGAAGTTAATATTTTTCAAAATAATTATTTTAAATTAACAAATTATTTTATTTTAGCAAGCATCTTTCTAATTTATTAATAATTTTAGAATTCAGAATCTAAAAATATAACATGTATTCCATTTTTATACAAAAAAGCATTTCGCAAAAGCAAAATTTACTTATCTCAAATCTATATTTAATTAATTACTTAGTTTAATAATTCAATTTAATTCAGTAAATGAAGATTTAAATTATAGCTTCTCAAATATGCTTCATTTCCTAACATTATTACTCAGCTTTAATGTGCAGAGTATATCTGTCAGTTAACAGCTATCAAGCAAATGTATAATCGAAGGTAGCATTTATTTAATTTAAGGTACAAAGTTAGTTTTTAATATGATATGATATTAAACATATATAAGTTTCAACAGTAATTTATTTTCATACAGTATATTTTAATATATTTCGCTATATCACCATCTATAATTATATATACATATAGGTATATATGTATGATAAAATAAACGAATAAACTGTTCAATTTATTTACTAACATAATTGTTTGGTATTATATTCCCAATTTTTAAATTGAAATGGAACTAGTTAGAATGTGGTTCAATATAAATCAATCGGCTTAATTGCGATATATT